TATTTAAATCATTATTAATTTTGGTTTTTGAAATTGTGTAACATTGCCACATTGGTAGGTTTGATACTTTGATTCATAAGTATGGTTGTCACTTGTCACACATTCTATTGCTAATAATTAAACTTTTACCTCAATAATATTATTACGAACAAAAATTTGATTTATCATGATTGATTTAATTTTTTATACAATTCTAAAAAAAAACAGTTAATTTTCCTTGGTTAGTATAAATTCAAATTTATTACATTAATTGTAAATAGGATAACTAAGTATTTAACTTTCAGAGTACCTATTGTGGTTGAATATACAACTAATATTGACCATGTTGTAGTTGTAAATATTGTTAGTTTATAATTTTTATTTTCAAAATTGAAATCATTCATCGTAATATTTATATTGCAATATAACAAAATTAATTTGATATAAATAACTAATTTATTGTAGTATAGTGTATAAATATTGAAATATTTTGTCTCAAATCTTCACATTTTTTTATATTTTAAAACTACATTTTAATAATTATTATCTACATTCTACACAGACGACAGACACACAGTAAACAATATTTTGTGTAGTTATGTCTTATACCTACTCTTATTATGTCTTATACCTACTCTTATTATAGTTATTATTATAAACTATTCATTGTTATTGAGAGTAGCTATTTTTATTTTTATCAGCTTAGTAGTGAACGGTGTTATATAGTATACTAGTGATTTAAGTGTTTATCTAGATATCATTTAGATTTGAACGATTTGGTACTATATGTGTAGCAGAACTTATCCAGGGGGGTTCATGGGGTCTGGCCTGCCCCGAAATTTTTGTATACCGTCATATAAAAAAATAAAAGGTTTTATATATCAATTAAGCATACAAATTGTACTTACATTTATTTCGACATCGACCACCCAAAATAAAATCCTGGTGCCTGGTGTGTAGCACGAAAATTTGAATATTTTAGGGACTGGCTCGGTGGATGAAAAAATAAGGAACATCACTAATATCGTTACAGAAAATAAAGTTAGCGGTAATATTTTTAGTATGGCTGTTCATGGCGGGGTTATAAATATAACATCCAACGATGAACGGAGTAGGTACTGGATGAATTACCAAAAACAACGATTCACTAATATAGTAATATAATAAAAATATTGATAATACTATAAGTCTATAATATATTTATAAAGTCTGTATACCTAAGTTATAAATAAAGTTTGTATTTACCATAATTTTATAAATTGATATTAGACATAACCATAAATTATATTTTTAATGATAAAATAATGCATGTTAAAAAATCAGCCATATCCCCTCTCCCCATGACAAAATCATTTGACCGTTGACCGCCACCACGATTATTTCTTTATAATCGTGACCGCCACTGATTTTGATATATACATATTTTGACTCATTTTTAACAAAATTAAATCCGGTCTGTTATCATAATATTGTAGACACGTTATCGACGTTTGCGATCATTTAATATTTCATTTATCATTTATTTATCATTTGTTCCTCAACGCATTGCCTTAACCAGCATTAAATAAATTAAGTATTACAACTAATAAATCACATTTAACAAATAAAATTATACAAACTTTTACAGATTATGTAAAAAACATATTTAATATTATTAATAAAACAGATGAAATCGTCAATTGTTATAGAAATAGAAAATTTGATGTATATACAATATAATTAATTTAAATCTATTAAAACTATTAAAATAAATCGTCAATTGTCATAGAAATTGAAAATTAGAACTATGTAACAACTATTAATTAATATTTTATAAAAAAAAATCAGATAAAAACAAATTCCGCATTTATATAATGTTGTCATAGAAATAGTAAATTTAATTTACTAAATTAGATATGTAAAACTTACAATAATGTTGGCTTACATTTGAGTGAAAAGTATTTTAAATATCATATTATATTTGTGTTTTCTCTGAATTTTTTTAAATTTTCAATTCAAATAGGTAGGTAGTCAATTTGTAGTGTATTTTTTTTCTATATTCTTTTTTGGGTGCATTAGTATGGACACATAAGTATTAATTTTCAATTATTTTAAAGTATTTATAAATTGATCTAGGTATGTTTGGATGGCTTGACTGCTTGAGTAAAAATATGAACGGAATACTTAGGAATGAAATTCTTCACATGCGTTTTACACAATCTATTTTGTCATGAACTTGACTATAATACGTAACCATATTAATTACCTGCTGTCCCGTGTTTATCTCTTTTCTATCGTGTAGTTGTGATCTTAGATATATATATATATCTTAGATATACGTTTTGCTATGGTTTTGCCGCCGTCGCTCTATCGTAGTATCGTCAAGTCGGACTCGACATCGGAGCGCCGCGCGCCATCAGTTTCTGTTGAAAGGAAGCGATAAATAAAGTAATCCAAACAATGTTAAGTTGAAATAATGAAAAGATTTTTAATACAGTGAATAATAAACCATAATATAATAATACAATGCACTAAGAAACGTATATCACCAACGGGGCGCATATCTCGACTGCCCTAAGAACTATATTATTATCATACTATAGCTATAAATTTCTAACTGCCGTATACACACAATATTGAAAATATGTCAACTCTGCATTTTCGCTGTCCTTATACAGTATCTAATCTACAGTATGACTTTACTACTTATTGTATACAATCTACAGAGTGAAAACTAAATTATAATATAATATTTCAACAGTTTCTTTGTATCGGCTGTACACACAAGACACGACACAATACAAGCGTGCCGTAGCAGGGCAGCCCCCCCCCCGTTGGTCGTATTATTTAAATTTAATATTTTGTGTTACCTATCCTATGTGAATGTATTGTAATATTTTTCAGTCAGAAATTGTCGTATTTTATTTTAATAACACACATTTATAAATTGTTGATAACAATATTATGACCGATTGAGGGACGACGACCAATAGCTGAGCGGCTCATAGGATTAAGGCCCTAATAGGGCTATTAGTGCCTTCATAGGGCTTTGTCCTAAAAATTTTAAATTGTAAATAATTCAATTCAGTTTGAGAAAAAAATATTCATTATAATTAATGAGCAATTATTGCATATTTATAATATATACATAAATATATACTCGTATTTACCAGTAGGTAAATAGTAAATATATTTCGATGTTTATAATCCTCCCCTCCCCTTAATGTAGGCTGGATCCGCGTCTGTGCCGCAGTTTTTTGCCGGACGACTGTTTCATCGTGCGTCGCGGATCGTTCGCCGAGTTTGCTGGTCAGTAAGTCAGTTATAATTCAAACTTTGTTTTTCCGTGTTGTATATATTATATTATATGATTGACCCCAACTACAACTCGCAAGAGGCACGTTCGTTAACCTCCACAATATTAAATTCTTATCTATCTATTGTCTCAATTAATTCCCGTGTGATAAGGTTTGTATGGCCCATTCATTTTTCGATGAACCATGCGTTGTAGTGTTTTAGTCAAGGTGTATCAATACGCCTTGGTTGTAGTAGGTACATCGTGGTAGTACATCGTAATTCGTCATAAAAGCACGCTCCCAACATTGAATGCTCGTAGGTACCAGCCAAGACGTAAATTCATGACTATATAGTCAATGACGATATTTCGGATCAAATTAGATAGTAAGTATACGATATTGATTAGAAAATAACGCTAATGTCCCTAATTTTCAAGCAATGATGCATTTAGAAATATTCCTGGTTAATGACGATAGCTCCGGACTTTTTCATACATAATTAATAAAAATATTAAATCAAAAATCTATTGTAAACTGGTTGTTAGATGAATTCTAATTTAGGTACTTATTATAAGTTGTAAACAGTGTTATACACTTATATGTATGTAAAAATGTAATAAATGTATTTGTACATTTTAATTAGAAACTGCCAGGACCGGCTCAAGCGAAAATAGTGAACTAGGCGAAATCAAATTTTGCCGCCCCTAATAATATAATATTATCAGTATTTTGAAAATGCCGCCTTCTTACTAAAGTGATACTTATGTGCCGCCCTAGGCGTGGGCCTATGTCGCCTACCCCTTGAGCCGGGCCTGGAAACTGCCTTACCTTGCTAAATCGATTTATATTTTATTTATCTACTTATAATCGGTACTACCTAACAATAATACATACCTATTTTCCGGCTCTAATAATTGTTGATGGTCGTTTACTCGTATATTACGTACATTTTAAGAAAAATATAGCTGTCTATCGAATACATAATATGTCATCTATATGGTAGATATGTAATATAAATCGCGTTAACTTATTTGTTACAAAAATTGTTATAATTTATTATTCAATTTATTTATTCACTTTTAGTTGTTTTTATGTCTTTATATGTATTTCTATACACATATTATATCTGTATGTCACTAGTTTTAATAAATGTATCTCTTTTCAATAATTTATAGTATAAAAACATGAAAATACAAATTGAATACATAACTCAATGTATTCTGTGTTGGCATAAAAAAAACTTATTTAGGTAGACATAAGTTTGATATAATTATCCATTTTATATACATAACTCTCTATTATATTATAAAAAGGTATATATTTTTGTGTTTTCCACTGATGTATGGTTTAATATTACCGAATAATAGGTAATTAGAATTTATTTTTTTAATTTAATTGATTTCTGATAAAAATGCTAGTTATGTTGAAAATGGTGGTAACGAGTGATGAGAGCATGTGGCTAAGCCCACTATTAATGATATACTATTATTTTTCAAAAAATATTTAGTGTAACATATTTGTTTTATTAGGGATATGATTACTTTAAATCAAGGATAATGCTTGTGCTCGATTTCAGCTTTTTAATTTTTTGAGCCAAAATGTTTGCTCACTGAAAAATACGTTTTACTAAATATATGTCCTGCAATCTTTCTCACCATCAAATGACCTATTTGACTTCAAAGGTACATAATGTTAAGGTTTTATGTTCACAGTAATCAAAAAACATTAAGGAGAACATAATTCAGTATGGTTCCATTAAGTCCATCAATTAGTGAGTCTTCATTAAATTCCAAGTAAGCAAATACCTAAAATATGAGGTAACTAATGAAATGTTATAAAAATATAAAATTTTAAAATCATCTTACAAAACTAGGGGTTTTATAATTTATGTAATTAATACATTGTATATGATTTGAACAGTTATTACCTACTGAATAATAAAACATACATTTTTTTCAATTTCTTTTAAGTATGATTATATATTAAACAGTTCCAGAGTGTTGGCCATTCCAAATAATAGACGTGATGAGCCAGTAATTAAACAGGAATTTGTTGATGTAACAGACAATCCAGTATTTAAACAGGAATTTGTTGATGTAATAGACCATCCATTAATTAAACAGGAATCTGTTGATGTAATAGACAATCCATTATTTAAAAAGGAATATAACAATGATCAAGTTCCAAATATTAAACAGGAGTTAATAGAGGAGATGGACCATAATAATGATGAGTTACTCATAGGGTAAGAATCATTTTTACATCATAGCGTAATTTAAAATGTAATGATACAATTTAATAACCTAACTGATAAACAAAAATATTTAACATATTTTAATTTAACAGAAAAAATAATAGAAAAAAAAGCCATCCACTTATAGAATCTCAGTAGTACTACTAACATAAATTATTAATTGCTTAGGTTAATTTTTGGTTAGTAAATTGTTTAATGGATCACAGCACCCAATGTCCATTTCTACACCAAACTGTGATGTCCAAACTATTTTATTCCAAGATATTAACTGTATAAATATTACACTTTTTTTAGTAAATAATAAGTAGTTTTAAACTTTTAATAGGTAAAATTAAATATTGGAATAAGCATGACATTTTTTAAAAATGTTTTTAATTTCAGCTTTATGAATTCAGATATTGCTAACAACGAGAACGTCGACCTTTGGTCAATAGGAAAATGTATATTTTGTAAAGGAAAAATAGAGGAAGATTCAAAAATCCTAAAATGTCTTCATATTATTTGTAAAGACTGCACTAAGAGAGAAACTACTGATTCAGGTAAAATTAACTTAATGTTGTATTTATTTATTTATTGTTTCATTTGATATTAAACAAGTTTGAAAATTCATAAAATCTTAAAATCTTATGAAAACCTAGGTATATGGTGCAAATGTAAAATAGTGACTAAGGGTGAACTCATTGATTACTCGATTATGGCACCAAATCAATCACAGGTAAAGATATGTTGTGAAAAAAATTGTCAAGTCGTAGCAAAGAAAATCTGCATGCATTGCAAAAGCGTGTATTGCAAACCATGTTCAAAGGTAACTTTAAATTTCTTCTAGACATTATATATGTACGTAATTTGTTCAGAATATATTTTTATTTTTTTATTAATAGACCCATTCAATTAAGAATAAAGATCATAACCCTGCCTTGATGTTGAATTATCCATTAAAAAAAGAATTTGTTCCTTGCCCAAAATGTATGAAAGTAAGTTATAAGTATTAAATACAAATTTAAAAGCAATGAATGAAATTGTTGAATTAATTGACAAAAATGAGATTGAAATATAAATTAAAAAAAAAAATTATAATATATTTTAAGGAAGAGCTTATGAATTTTTTTGTTTTACTTAATCTGTTTAAAGGTAGCTATTTCGAAATAAGCATTATTGTTTTGTTTTAGAAATCTGTAGAAGTATTTTGTACAAAATGTTCAATTATGATTTGTGCTATTTGTCATTTAAACTTTCATCAGAAACATAATTTTAATCTTCTTTCCACAATGGCTGTTGAGACCAAGGCAGAATTGCAAACGTTACTAACTGATATAAGGTATGATGAAATGAATTATTATAAAAAATGTTTAAAATTAAGTGCTTCTATTAACTCTTTGACTGGTATGAAAGTTCTTTAAGTTCGTTTATTCATAACATAAAATATGCTGGTTTAGCATATAAAATAAATTTAATAGTAAATTTAGTAGTCAAAAAAAGTTTTCCTTGTTCATTTTGGATAGCTTATACTTTTTTGAAATTTTTATTATTTCTAGTTATTACTTAAGTGAATTTGCTAAGTATTGTGTTTGTTATCTTAGTCATATAAATTTTAAACTTAGAATTCAAATAAATGTAATACTTTTTGAATATGGTCCAATGTAACTAAATTTTTCATTTGATAATATTAAAAAAAAAAAATGCAAAAGAGGATATTAGAGATGGGTATTTTAGTGAATACAAATTTAGCAGTGGAAAGGCTATTTATTATCAATTTTTACATATGAAAACATAACATTTTTAATTTTGCAGCAAAGAAAACAATCATTTAAACTTTATAAGGCAAATGACAAATGAAAAAATCACGAAATTGAAATCCGAGAAGAAGAAAATTAATGACAAAATTGACGAAAGAATCAAAATGTAAGTTATAAACAATGTAATGAAATAAAAACTATTTTCTAAAACTTATTGTCTCATTGCAGGATACACGAAGAAGCTGATAAACGCGGACTTGAACTAAAAAAATTACTTGAAACAAATTTCACAAATGCAGTTAATGATATTAAAATGAATAATACGGTTATTAATGATTTTGGAAAAGAAAATGATTATTATTATAGTTTAACAAGCTCTGTTATCAATTGGGATAAAATTGTTGAATGCATTAAACTTTCAAAGTATGTTAAATTTAAGTTAAATATGTACCTAACACATAGAAATATATATAATAAATATATTAATTATTAATCTATTTTAGAATTATCAAGGATCAAATGGTTATTGCTAAGAGACATACCCAAGAAGCAGCAACTTGTAAAGCTGAATTGATATACAATGATGAACAATCTGTGAAAAAAATTGTAGAATGTAAGTTGGAAGCAAACATAGTTAGATAGAAGAACTATAACAATAAAATAATAATTTTGTTTTTAGCAATTCAAGGAATGGGAGATATTATTTCATCAAAAATTGTTAGTTCATCAGAATTTAAAATCACAGTTGATTCAAATAAAGTTCTACAAACTCTTGAAAATGATGTAAGAATTTAAAATATTACAACAATAACTTTTTTTGAAAATCTCACATTCTATTTTCTTCTAATTATTATTCTGATAGTTGTTTCTATCATTTAACTTTTGATCTTGTATTGATTCTCAAGATTGAAGCATTTTTTTTTTTTAATGTTAAGTATATTTTGTCCTATTATTTTATTTAGCAAGCATGAATTTAGTATGGTAATGATTTATAACTGTAGCTATCAGGTTTATATATGTTTACTAATGGTATACATATAATAAAAAGTTCAACATTGTATACGTGCATAACATTTAAATATTATTTTAATAAATTGTTTTTAGCAATCTCCGATTTTAAGATCCGAACCGATAATGATACAACCTGGCGTGAGTAAGCTAGAAGCAGATAGTTATGAAATGACGACAGATGAAAGTAAAATATTTACTATACACATTTCATATACTAATAATATTGATGTTTTTATTGATAAACATTTTTTTTAAATTTTGTGTTATAGATACTGACAGTGCAGACTTTAAACCACCTGAAATTTCTTATTGTAATCAATTTACTAAAGAATTAATAAACAGCACATCCTGTAATAGGTCTTATCATAATGATCGTCATATTCCTTCACTAGCCAAGGAGCTTAAACCTAAAGAGTAATTATTTTTTTTAATTATATATTTATTACAATTATTGTAAATTATATATTTTTATGGTCAATTTTGGAAGTGTACCCTTTGCTAAGACATTTTAAAACATACCAGTAACTTACTTAAAAAGAATATGACAGGTCATATTGATTCTTATGGTCAGAAAATCATTGAACGTATATTACTAGAGTTGTATTGTCAAAATGAGGACAGTGAACACTATCAAAATTTTTTGTATAGAGAAATAGTGAGATATGCAGATATAAAAATGATTGTGAATAAGATACAATTTTAGTAAAATAAGATTAAATGTGTGTTATAGTATCCAGCATAAATTTCTGATCCTATATCATTGAATAATATCAAGCAACGTTTAGAATTTGATGTATCTTATATATCACTATTGTTGGTATTCACTAGACAAACTTATGATGAATCTAGTATTGCCTTTTCAAATCTTAGATTATAATTATTTTGTAGTTAAAAATGTAGGAAATGTTCAACCTTTATAGCTAAGGATTAAAAATTTAAAACAAGGTTCCACGTAAATAGGTTATATATAAATTACATTATTTGCAATAATATCATCAAATATACTTAGTAATATCATAGGCTGACTGACCGTTTTCGCTCAGAATCGTTTTTCTTATACAATGATATTATATCATTGAATTCAAATTTAATACCATCCATTATACAGTGACCCACTTGTAACCTACTGTACAGCGAGCGACTTTTTTTTCTTTGATGATCTTCAATTATATATAATATCTACTATATTATATTTTAATTTAAATATATTTTTCTAGTATTCATAATATAGATACAATGACTCAACAGCAGCAACAACCACCGCAGCAACAACAACAACAACTATCATCACAACCACAAATGAATCACAACCAAAAAAGATCCAATGAACAAACTGATGAAGATGATTGTCAGTCGAATGAAGGATTTGTTGTGAAGATGCTTGGCCTATCATGGGCAGCTACAGCTGATGATATAATGAAATTTTTAAGCATATTGGGTAAGTTAAGAGCAAACTATAATAATTATTTTACTCAAATTCAAGTACACCTAGCAGAAGAAAAAAAAACAGTTTTGTACATCCATCCCCCACTACTGGTAACTGAACAGTTTTTATACAGTTGTGATCGAATACTGTGTTAGTCCCAATGATAATTAGTAATTACCTATATAATTAACAAACATTCAAAATTCTAAGATCATATAAGAACCATATAGCTGTGCAACACTTTTACAATCGCTTTCTATAGTATAGCCATCGTAAGAACGCTACTCGTTCGCGCATCCAAATGACCGAGCTCCGCAGTTTCGTACCCAAGTTTCTCCCACTCTACCATCTAGTCGCCACCGTAAATAGGCAGTAGTGGCAGCGACAGTAGCGATGACGGCGACAGTGGCGGCGGCCAGAGTTGACGGCGGCCAGCGTTCGGGAAGGTTTAGTGGTGGGAATGCGCGAGATCGGATGAATTTTGGTCGCCGCCCAGTAGCGTTGTTACGATGGCTATACTATATATTATATACGGATACGGGATGACCTCAATTGTTCATATATATATAGAGCCTTTGATGTATGTAATATTCATTTGCACAGAAGCCGTCATACGGTGTGTATAGTCACAGATAATTGTCCAAGTTGTACGTTACTTATATATTATATTATACATAATCATATTGTTTTGTTATTGCTTATTACATTAATACTAAAGTCATTAGTTTGTCAAGCTTCACTTTCAACAATTAATGTTAACTAATCTCTATTAGGTATAGGTATCACTACAAGGATGTATTTAAGTTTGGGGCCCGTGCCCCCCCCCCCCCCATTCACCGTATTTTATACCTTTTTTTTTATTATTAAGAGTGTTAGCCTCTTTACGCTCTCATACTTTTCACCACGATTTAAGATTTAAGTATAATATCTTAAATCATGTGTTTATAATATTTTTAGGGATATGATGGGGCTGCCAACATGTTTGGAAAATTTAAAGGCACTCAAGCTTATATTTTAAAATATCAACCCCTTAGCTACATATGTACACCGCTATAGCCACTACTTAAATTTAGTTTTAGTTAAGGCATGTTCGGTACAACCAGTATGAAATACAATTGGAATTGTCGAAAAAGTTACTAACTTCATAAGAGATTCTCCAAAAAGAATTGCAATTTTTAAAAGCGAAAATAAAAAACTGTCCAAATCTTAACTCAGATATATTATTAAAGTTATGTACAACTAGATGGGTTGAACATCTTGAAGCTTTTATACGATTTAACCAAGTGTTTCCTGCTATTGTATCATTTTTGGAATATATGATCGAAAATTCTGACGGACAAATTTTGACAAAAGTTAATAGTGTATATAACTCAGTATTAAAATTTGATTTTTTATTGACATTACAAATTATATTAAATACTATGAGTTGTACACTACCTTTATCGAGGAAAATCCAGTCTCCAACTTTTGATATATCTGAAGAACAATCTTTAATACAATCTGCTTTAACTGTTTTGACGAAAATTACTAACGAAAATTAACATTGAAATCAAGATATCACAAATAGCAAATAAACAGTGTAAATATTTCTTTAGAATCAAACACACTCGAGAATTATTATAGAGTTTCTGTTTATTATCCATACTTAGATTCATTGTTAACTGAAATTAAACACAGATTTGAAACTAAAAATACTAATATTTTAAACTTAAAAAGCTTCATACCTAAATATTGTAACAATATTGAAGTTTCAAAAATGTTGAATGCAGCATTAAGGTTTACAACTGATTTACCAGGTACTTTCTATGAGTTAGAAGGAGAATTGAAAACCTGGAATGTAATAGTTACAATTACAGTTCAGCGGTCTTGCAATAAACACGTATGGTGAACTATCGGTGTCTTATCTGTTTACTTCCGTCACCGTTCGATTTTTAGTCTCACTATGTCTGCGTCAACCAAATCTAAAGAAAGCTCTCCAAACATGCTTCACAACCCTAGGAGTAAAGTAAATCAAAAACCAACCAATGATACTACTGATATTATGCAATCTTTACAGTCGTTAAAATTATCTCTCAAATCAATGAATACCAAACTTGAAGCTATCCAAACTTCAGTCTCGGAACAAAAAATTGAATTTGTTGAAATTAGGAAATATTTAATAACTGGTACTGTTTCTACTTTGAAAACTAATTATGATATTATAAAAACGGAGGTTTCGAATTTGCGCCAACAAATCGATTTATTGACTCATAACAATACCGCCTTATCTTTTGAAGCGGTCCACGAAGCACAAGTTCGATTAAGAAAATCACGTAATATTATAATTTTTTACGTTCCTGATAACAATGAGTCCATTGATGAAACTAATAAGTCTACCTCTAATATAATAAACTACATGGTTCCAAATGTACCTATCATTAAAACTACCCGGTTGGGTATTAACCGAAATAAACCACGACCTATTTTAGTTGAGTTAAAAAACAATGATGCAGTAGGTATTGTCAATTTTGGAAGCAAAGTCCAAATTGCGGCAATCTGAAAACTGGAATCGCGTATGGATCACCACAGACCTAATGATGATACAGAGAAACCAACTCAATCAAGTCAAGTTGCAACTACAAAATAAAATTGACGCTGGAGACCTGAGCTGGTACATCAAATTCGTTCATGGAAATCCAATCCTGTCTCAAAAAAACGCTCAACCCGCCCAAGCATAAATACACCTTACACGGGTAACCAAGATAATCTTATAAGTACTTCTTTTAGTTTTAATAACAAACCATACAAATGTAAATCTTTTATAGGCTTTTATCAAAATGTTAGAGGTCTTCGTTCTAAATTATGTTTACTTAGATGCAATATTCATACTATGTATTTCGATTATTTTATTTTGACCGAAACCTGGCTGAATAATAATATTAATGATTGTGAACTGGGCTTTGATAACTACTCTCTTTATAGAGCTGATAGGAACTATGCAATCAGTAACTTTAATAAAGGCGGCGGTGTTGTGATATGCGTTAGTAATAAATTTTCGTCTAAAATTATAGATATACCTAATACCACTATTGATCAATTGTTCTTTGAAGTTACCATCGATAAGGTTTTAATGTTCATAATTGGAACCTGTTATATCCAACCAAATAGTCATACCAGCTTGTATTCAATACACGCTCAAACAGTCGATTGGGTCTTATCTAAGTTTGGCAATAATGTACAATACATTGTTGTCGGTGACTACAATTTACCGAAAACTGTAATTACCAGTGATATACCGTACTCATTAATAACAGCATACTTACACCCCAGACCAATGCTATTTTTGATATCTATGCTTTTAATAATTTTTTTCAAGTTAACACGCATTTAAATTTTAAGGGCTAAATGCTCGATCTCTTATTTACTTCTTCAAATTTAACAACAATTAATATTTGTGATGAATTATTGGTTCCGTTAGATAAATACCACCCAGCACTTTCCATACATAGTAACTATGATGTTACTCGCGATTTTAACCATGTTGTTGATTCAAACCGGTATTATGATTTCAAGATAGCTGATTATACTTCAATATGCTGGTCATTAGGACTTATTAATTGGCACAACCTATTCGAAAATAAAAATATTAATGAAATAGTAAACATATTCTATGATAAAATTTATAATTTTATTTCTAAATACATACTAAAAAAGTATAATTACATCAGGTATCCGACAAGTGGAAATTAAGCTATGTAACATCAATTTTCAAATCTGGTGATAAAGGATCCATCACAATTTATCGGCCAATCTCAATAATAAGTGTGATTCCAAAACTATTCGAGAAAATTATAAATAATAAACTAACAACCACTTTTAAACTAACTCTATAATATAATCAATACGGCTTCCGGTCAAAACGATCAACTGGTACTAATTTATTAGTTTTTTATTCTAATTTAATATCCACAGTAGAGAGTGGTGACTAAGTAGATGTTATCTATACAGATCTTAAAAAAGCTTTTGATATTGTAGATATTAAAATATTATTATATAAACTTAAACTAATGGATGTACATGGTACATTATTAAGTTTGTTCAAGTCCTACTTATCTAATAGACGACAACGGGTAAAAGTTAATAATATTCTGTCTGATTCTATTGAAGTTACCTCCGGTGTGCCTCAGGGAGGACATTTATCTCCACTACTATTTTTATTATTTGTTAATGATTTAGATAAAACTTTTAAATATTCCAAATTTCTGCTGTTTGCTGATGATTTAAAATTGTATAACCCAATTAACACACCTAATAATTGTTTAGAGTTACAGGATAATATAGATCGCTTTTCTGAATGGTGTATGAACAAGTAAAACATAAATGTTAATGAATGTCAACAAATAACATTCTCACGTCGTACTAACCCAATAAAATTTAGTTATCAGATACATAACGTATCCTTGAATGTAGTTTCTTCTGTAAAAGATTTAGGTGTTTGGCTATCTATTGACTTATTATTTAATTTACACTTAGACAAAATGTATAAAATAGCATTAAAATTATTAGGTTTTATTAGACGCAATACTTGGGAATTCAAGAGTCCCACCTGCATTAAAGTACTGTATTGTTCATTAGTACGTTCCATTCTGGAATACTGTTGTGTTGTATGGAACCCCTTTACTGATAATTGGGTAAATAAACTTGAAAGTATCCAAAATCGCTTTTTAAAATGTTTAGCTCCTAAATTAAGATTACCAATTATTAATATTTCCAACGTTGCTAAACAATGTGGCCTAGATCCATTATCTAAACGCAGATTATTTAATGATGTTAATTATATATATAAACTTATTAATAACCAAATTGGTTGTCCCGATCTATTAACTAAGATTAAATTTAAGGTACCTACATTCAACTCTCGAAATCACTCTTTATTTCATATCGACTGCCACCGCTAGAATTACAGTTACTATAGCCCTTTAAATCGTATGTGTATGTTCTGTAATAAATTTACAAATTTTGATTTTTTTCATGATCCACCAGGTTTACTATATTCTTTATCAACTATGTAATGTAATTTATTGTACATGTTATTTACTGTAACCTTTGCTCATCTTGGGCGTAATTAATTAATAAATAAATAAATATGGAAAGAAAAACCAGTAGATGAACTTCCATCCACTGCAATAGAAACAATATTTATACCACTCATGGATTTTTAACCCAATATTAAAAGACTTTTAATGCTATTCGCAACAATTCCTGTGACAACATGCACATCTGAAAGGTCATTTTCTTCCCTTAAGAGAATCAAAACTTACTTAAGATTAGCTATGGGAGAAAATCGATTGAATGGATTAACATTACTTAATATACATCCAGAAATAATTATAGAACCTGAAGAAGTAGTTGATGTATATGCTAATAAACACCATAGACACCTTCAGTTATTACAGCTACACCAATAAATTCCTTTTAATTATATGTTTTATTAATTATTATACATTTTTCCAATAAAATGTTTATGTTTTTATCAAACATGTATTTTGACTATTTGGTTATGCATAATATGAATGATGATAATATTTATTGAGATGAAAAATATGAGATATTTTATATCTCTAACGCCCCATATACGATAATTTGAATTTTGAACTTTTTGTTTGTGCCCTCCCCATAATACATTTCTAAATACGCCCCTGTATCACTACTATTGTTATTATTATTAAATTACTATAATTTAAATAAATTGTCAAATACAAATACTCTGTAAATATCTGTAGATATAGATAGCCTATATAGGCTAGGAATATCTTATTATTAAATAATAAATAATAAATTAATTCAATAAACATACAATTGATTGACAAAAAAAAAAAAACTAGATGTAGTTTTGTATTGAAATAAATTAAATGTAATCTATTTTATATATTATGTAGGTGAAGCAAAAGTTAAAGATGGTGCTTCCGGAGTACATTTTACTATGACTACAGAAGGAAATCCTAGTGGTCAAGCTTATGTTGAAATGGAATCTGAAGAAAATCTTACGGCTGCTCTTAAGAAAGATGGATGTTATATGCGCAATCGTTGTATTAGAGGTTATACTCAAATCATATTTAATAATGTATTAGTAATTAGTTTTAATGACTTATTTGCTTCCAAAATGTGGCTTAAACTTAAATTCCCAATTCCTTTAACTAATAAAAATCAATTGTAAAAAGAATAACTTTCTTATTCCTTTTGTAATGTACAATAGTCTACAATCATTTAAATATAAATGTTAATAGTGAGTTATAAAAGTGCAATTTAAAACTTAATCATTTGAATATATTTTTTTTTAGTATTTAGATCAAAACGTTCAGAAATGAAACGGGCTATTAAAAAAACTGGTTCAACACTTGACAGTGCACTATATTATGATAATTGTGTTCACATAAGAGGTCTTCCCTTTGGTTTTACTAAAGATGAAATTGTAGAATTCTTCCAAGGTATACTTTTCCATTTAATTTATATACATTGATTGAATTTTATTTTTTTATTTCTCTTGTTAATTTTTGGATTACTTATAAATTGGCTTTGTCTTGGTGATTCAATAAGATTTATTTTAAATTAGTTTTGTGATATTTTTTAATGTTTATTTTTTAAAATCTAATAGCAATTTTACTAAGTAAAGCTATATTTTTTTTAATTTAAAATTTTGAGTCTTACCCTATATAATTTTTCTTTGTATAGACTTAACCACTCTACTATGTTCCACTAAACATAAAATGATGATATCTAATGATAACTAGTAAGCTATTTGTCCTCAGAAAACATTAATTGTTAATTGTTAATTGTTTACTGCTTAAAAATTAAGTTGTGTAGGCTGTATTTAAATATTGAGTAGGATATTTAAAAATGGAGTTAAAAAGTAAAAACTAGTAATTATACCAAAATGTAAATTTAAGGACAACAAAAAATATGTCGATAAATTGTTTTAATTTTTAAATATCACAAGTTTCAATCAATAACAGTTAAAATGATCTTAATGAATTGCCTTGTCTTCAAATTTTATAAAAATATTCAAATTTAATAATATTTACTTTTGTTAATTGAACTTTTTTGTTATTGGTTGTGCTAATGATTGGGTTATCCATGATTGTTTGTATTGTGGGAAACAGGGTTGGAGATGGCACCAGATGGTATAACCATAGCAACAAACTCTACGGGACGGATAGAAGCTTTTGTACAATTTGTAAACAAAGAGAATGTAGAGGAAGCTCTGAAGAAACACAGGAAGAAAATAAGAGACAGGTGGGCATTTGGAGTGTAATATAATATAATATAATATAATATAATGTAATATAATCACACTTATTTAAACAAAGGGATGGCCGGGAGGGTAATCCTTCGTTTCTCATTATTTGTGATTTGCTTGTTTTTTATTTTATTTTTAATTATTTCTACCATAGTAAAAATGTACTTTATGTTTAATTTACTTTTAGGTATCAATTGCATTAAGATCATAATACTTAATAAATTACTCATTTTTTTATGATTTTTTAGATATATTGAGGTATTCCGCAGTAGTTTAGCAGAAATTTGCAAACAAGCACTGCTGCAAACAAGACCAAGACAAATTCCATATGACCGAATGGATCGTTTTGCTAGTAGTGGTGGTGGCAGTGGTAACAGAGGACGGTACTCTGATATGTCCATGAGAAGTGGACGTAATATGAAGTCATTTGGCAGTGGTAGAGGTATGGGTGGACCAAGAGGCGGTGGCAGAAGCAGCACCAGTAGTTATGGCAGAGGAAATTCTTTTTGGGATAAAGACATTTTCTCGGCGTAATGGTAACTCTGGTCCTCCTAATTCATTTTTTTTTCAAATAATATAAGTAGAAGTGGATATCCAAGACCTTCTGTACCAATATAAATATGTCAGGACCTAGACCAAAATTTAACCCCTTTTAAAATTGATGATAAATATAAATAAAGTAAATTGTTTGATTTTAAACTATATGTTTGCAGCAGATCGATGTTTTTTTTTATTTCTTAAACTAATAAAAGTAATTATGATTATTCCTTTTAAATCTAAGTACTAAATATGTTAGTTTTACCATTCAAGTGTTATTTAATTTTGATTTATTTTATTTATGGTGTATTCACATAAAATAATTTTGTAATATTATTTTTTTAGAAAAATATGAGAACACGCTTATTTTATCACAACATTTTAGGGCATATGTTGTCATATCATAATTTTTCTATCATCCATAAGATAATTTTATGTTGTGGAATCTTTAAAAATCCAAATACTTGTTGTATGGAAATTGCATTTTAATGTTAATAGAAACAACCCTTTTTTTATACATTGAACTTGTGTTTTGCATAACTTCTATTTTTTAATGTATACATTAAGGAAACAGTTTTATATTAAATAAAATTAGTGTTTGTAATAAAGTTTCTGAAAAATAAATTGTACCAGTTTTTTAAATTCCTATTACAGTAGAACTTCCATTAACGGTCACCTCTAAGGACGGTCACTTCTATGTAACGGTCAATTTTTTTGGTCCTGTCGAGTGTTATCCTACCTCTGTAGGACGGGCACCTCTAAATTGCGGTCATTATTTAAAGTCCCTTTGGTGACCATTATATGGAAGTTCTGCTGTATCATAATTTACAAAAAAACCACTGTTATTAGATGAATTTGTTAAAAAATGTGATATCTGTTTTGATTTGTATGTTATGTTACGTATGTTTCCAAATGTTGAATGAACAATTTAGATTACTTGAAAGTATATTTTATAATTGAGAAAGTAGTGAGAAATTAGGATTACAAGTGTTGTGAATAAAATATCACCTATGGTAAAACAAAATATAGTTTTTAGGCCAAATTTATTTGTAACCTAATTTTAAAATATACCAAGGGTATCCCCTTGTGCTTTGGAAGTTTTTTTACACTGTGTATAATATGTACGTAAAGATACCCTTAGAATTTACTATTCATAGTAGAAATATCTAAGGAGTAAAGTGTTAAAAATAGAAAATACGGATAATACTCTAAATAAATTATACAACGGAGGTTTTAACTCTTGGTTTATTGTGCTGTAGCGAGCCACAGCTCTACAGATTATATTATATTATATCGTGATAACAACGATTAACTAGAATATGTCACTAATTACTGGTTCAACCTTACATAATATATAAAAATAAAATGAACCTATATCTGATATATAAGAAATTGCGAATCGAGAGATGCTGAAGTTTGATCACATACAATGTATAAAGTATATCGTCCAATTATTCTAATTGAACTAGTATCTATGAAGATGGGGCCATGTTATAAATCTCTACTAAAACTACAACTTTCAACAACCACGCCCAAAAGACACCTGTAAAATACGAGAGCTATTCATTCTCAAAGGAACGGACATCATGTATTGTATATAATAGGAACATAGCATATTATCCAGATGTTAAGACTAGCTACTAGCACACCTTCCGCCACTCAAGACACACACACTTATACGACTATTGTACAATTTATTATTAAAGGAAATAAACTACTATTTAATTTTTCTATTAAAATTTACTTCAAACTCATTCAAAATCATCATCATCTATTCATCTTTCTCGCTGAAAGGCTGCACGCAAGAATATGTCTACATAAAATTGAAGCGTCATCGAGTTTAATTTGTGTGCCATAACTACTCGGAAATAATAAAATAAGGTAGGTACCTATGGCCCGTTGTGATTTAATCGAACACGTACACAACACCTAAATGTACGAACAACGATGATTGTACATGGATATTAGACTTTAATTTCATATAAAGCGAGTGATTTACAGTTTTGAAAATATAAAGTTAACCATTTAAGATGTGGTTATTCAACACAAAAATAATATTTATCTGGACATTTAATGTAAACTCTAAATAGGTATATTATATTGTGCATATTTTGTCTATAGGTATCAAAGTTCCGAGTTATAATCTCAACTTTTAAAAAAAATAAAACAAAAACTGCTTAGGTACCTAGTTTTAATATTATAATTACAGACAAAGTATGTTCTACATTGTCATAACTAATTGATTAAATAATGCAAATTTAATTTACAACTCTATTGTGTAATTTTTAAACTGCCATGGTAATGATTTTATTGTAACAATGACAATGTAATAAATAACAATGTTTAGATAACAATTTCATATTGTGGGTTAGCAGAGAACGTTCTATTTAGACCCTAAACCCTTAAAGTCAAACAATGTTTGTTGAACTCAACTGGAAAAAATCGGTGAGTCAATTTTTAATTATATGTCAATAATATTAGTTTAACGTCGAATTTAACTATATAAACTAATAAATAGTTTCAGTTTGATTGTCACGCAGTGTGTTTCACATTTGGTGAAATAAATATGTACCAATCACAAGTAATTTCATCTGAGATTATCAAAAAATCATATTTGAAACACGAATGCTCAAAAGAAGTCGCCCTCATACTGTCGTTAGAACAAGAATTCGACTGGTTAATTATAACCAAATTAAATCTGAGCCTTTTAAATATAGTGCACATTGTAGGGTTAAGGTTGGTTACAAATCTAGAATGTTTAACACTGTCGCATAACAAAATAAAGAAAATCGAAAACCTCGATTGCCTCATGAAGCTGGGAGAACTAAACCTATCATATAATAGAATAACAACAATGGAAAATCTCGACCATTTAATAAAGTTAAATGTTTTAAACTTGAGTGGTAACAATATTTCAGAATTGAAAAATTTGGATAACATTTCACAGTTACAGGCATTTTACATAAGCCATAATGAGATAACCGACATTAATCAAATATTCTATTTGAAACGTTTCAAGTATTTACAGTGCATAGAACTGTCAAACAATCCAGCTACCGATAATAATAGACAACTAATTGTCGATCAATTTCCAAAGTTAATATATCTCGATAGTAAATATATAACTGCCGAGGAACGCTCATTACCTGTTGAAATAAACGATGAATACAGTTTAGCAGGTTCAGAAGTATTGGGAGAGTCTAACATTATACACAAAGCTTTTTTAAACGAAAATGATGGTATACAATTTTTTAATTATTTATACTACGAAGATGTTGATGGTGAATTGTTGAGTAAATGGAACTCAACTGTCAAAGTTGCTTTTAAAAAATATAAGAAACAAATTACCGATAGTGCAATGGAATTGTTTAATACAAGTCTACTAAAGTACTGTAATGTAATACCTTCAAAAAATTTAAATATTTTGATATAATTATTTTTTTCAGACTAACAGTGAGAGATGAGATGTTATTCAAGTTTAAAATGAGTCATAACAGATTTGAAAGAAAATTAACTTATATGAGCCGTGATAGGTATTATAAAAGAGTTTGAAGAAATAAGAAGAATAAGGACGAGTCCTTCTTCCAAAGAACAATCAAGTGATTTTAGTTCAAATGAAACAAGCATGAGTCAGGATCTGGATAACGTTGACAATTTAAGTGAACATCTTTCAATTGATACTTTCATAGCTGTTTCCGAGTTCGAGATAATTGCATTGAAAACGAAATTGCACGAAAAAAACATTTATATGAATAAATCCATCACGGATATGATAAGCAAATATGCAAACTTTGTAGAAGTAGAACTCAAATCATTTTTGGAGTTGTTAGTGCCAATGTTCTTTAATATGCGTGAAATTGTAAGTACCTACTCTGAAATATTGAGTGAAAACATTAGGTTGGCAGTGAATAATCCAATAAAAGTAATACCAAAGGAGTTCATTAATCATTTTGGAGATAGGTGAGTCCTTATAATTAAATCCAATTTCATTTAAATATAATATAACATAGCTAGTTCATACAATAATAATAATATTAATATTAACATAGGTATTATACAAAATTGTAGGTACTGAAGTACATTTGTATAATATAGGTACAATAAATAAATAAAAATGCACAACATGTATTTATACGTTTTTCATTGTTTGTTTTTATCAAAAATAATATGAGAATAATGTTACCTGATAAAAAAAAATAGTTATTTAAGAATCATATGGTTTTTAGATTTTCAATAAATGATGCCGCAGTTAAAATGTCTGATAAACACATGGAAATGATCTACAAGCGAGAAGAAAGACTTAGTTCTGATGCAAAAAAATGGGCTGAACAATCAATTGAAGATTTGAAAAATTCTGAAAAGCAAAGATTTTGGATGGTATTTGAAGAAATAACGAAATATTGCGATAATGTAACGATTTGGCTTGAACCTTTAAAAAATGTATAATATCTTGGACAAATCGTATAACTAGGTAATAATATGCTGCAGTGTCTGGATATTATATTTTCAGTATAATTTACACATATAACTGTTTGAAAATCGTAAAAAAAATTTAGATTGACAATATTAAAAAATTATTAAAACTGATTAATAATTGGTTTAACAATAGTTTAATTTCAAGTTTTGTCTAGCGACTATCAAGTACAATACCACAATTATACAATTACACTGTATAGGTAACTTTTTTTCACGTTCAGTAAGCTACATTAACAAATCACAATTTACAAGTAATTTACTATAACTGTTTACAAACTGGGAAAAATGTTATAAGAAAATTATAGATTATGAATAATGTCCACCGTATTAAATGAGTACTTCTCTTGAAGGAAACACTTTTTAGGGGAAACTTTTAAGCATTGTCGTTCATTTCAATAATATTATATTATTATATCAAACTGTTTTTGCGAAAATCGTCTAGTTTTAACAACAATAAGGGTTGCTAGTTAGTAGTTTCTACTGTTTGTTTTGCCCACATTGGTTAATGTAGGTATTCATGT